TTAGTGGCGAGGAATTAATTAGAACAATAAAGAAGGAATTAATACCGACAGTGTATTTTTTTTTTTGTAGTAGTAGTAGTAGATAAAATAGAATAGCAGTAGCACCTGACTCTAGGAGTTAAATGGTTAACATAAACCAACCCTATTAAAGATCGTGTCTGGACAGTGTTTTAGCTAAGCGCGAAAAGCTTATCGATATAAAAAGAGGGAGTGAAGGGAGTCTGGCATTAGCCAAAATTACTGACTGACTGGGAGGAAGGAGCCATCTTCTCTTAGGCGTTTGTGGCCCATATGTTTGCCTTCTGGGTGAAGTGCGTCTGCTGAAATACCTTGTGCAGCTTCACCTTCGAGTTGTGTTTATGCTTCACTTGGTTCTGTTAAGGCTGTTTGCACAGGAAACAGTGCCTTGACCAGCACCGTGCAAACCTGTAACAGATGGTCCTTGATACCTTGTCTTTATTTTATAAGTCAGTGTTATCATGCCTTCTGTGTTGGGATGGCCTTAGAAGAACTAAAGCAACCTGCTATCAATTTGTATCCCTTCTTATGCATAAACTCACAGCTCTCTTTTCCCTCCTCTCCCCAGAAAGGCAAACAGGGTGAATAGTTTTTATCAAAATACTACTTGGATAAGATTTTGCTTGCAATTCTCCTCTAATTTGTCTCATCTTTGATATATTTATCAAAGCATGATCCCAGCTTGTTTGGTATTTCGTTATCTTTTTCAGAGATCAGGTGGATATCCAAAATTATTATTTAGCACTAGATACATCTCTTACACAATAGTGAAAAAAATTGTTACGGAACATAAGTATTATTTCTCTGCTTGTACATTTAATAGGTACAGATCAGACCAGTGTCGGGCCACAGGTACTATGACATGCGTTTAAAGAATAAATGAGATGTTGGGGGAAAACAGTTTTGAAAAAAAGGCATCTTAGGTCAGCTCCTAGACTTCTCCGTAACATTAAGTTACTCAGTGAGTTAGTGCAACTCCATAGTTTTTAATGGGGTGCAAGATGTACGTACTGGTTTGAGGTTCATTATAAGAAAATATAAGTAGATGGTGCAGAGGGAGACCAAAAACTCCAGGAAGAGTTCTTTCAGGCCTGAAAGTGTCCTGTTACAGTCTCTTGCACTGAAAAGAGAGAGGCTGATGAAAACAGAAAAGAAGTTGGCTCAGATTTTGACAAATGAGAGCGAGGGAAAAAATCCTAACCGCAAAGAGGAAGCTTGCTGCTGCTGCAACTTGATTTTTCTGGGTAAATCTAGGATAAAATAGCGGTATAAAAAGAGGAAAAATACAGTGTGGTTCAGCACACAGATATCTCAGCAACAACCTGAGCCAGTCTATTTTCACTGAAGAGAAGAAATATATTGCTGTTCAGGAAGCTACCAGGTACTGTCTGTCTTTACATGCTCCAAGATGCTAGTTGGTGTTGAAACGTCTTTCTCTTTCTTCTGTTTTTTGTAGGGGGCTTTTTTTCCACCATCTTTTCCAGTTTGTTTGGAACTCGAGAGATGAGGATTCTCATCCTGGGATTGGATGGAGCAGGAAAAACAACCATTCTGTATAGATTACAAGTTGGAGAAGTTGTTACCACTATTCCAAGTAAGTGATCAATCCCTTATTAAAAATAGCTGATTTGACCGTAGCTGTGATATGTAGGCTTTGTCAACTGAACTTGCTACATGCTTACTTCATAAACAAAAGGACTATATGTTGTTTGAGACTTGCGCTGTTGTATTTAAGGACTTCCTTTATTATAGCGTGCTGTAGAAGCTGTACACAAAGTATTTGACCTTAAGTTTGTTACCGTGTTTTCGTAGGTTTCTCTTGAGAAATAAGCATTCGCTGAACGGGAACTGTTAACTATCAATGTCTTTGTCTCCAAACATAGCTGGAATGTGAATTTTAGAGCTATTATTGAACCCAGCTTCACACCTTTTAAGTGTTTATTTTTGACAAGGAAATAGTGGTTCTGTGTATCTTAAGTCTGTTATGTAAACGCTTCTCTTTTTTTACACGGAAAAGAAGAAATGCAGATGGTTAACTTCAGATGCTGTAGAAAGTTCACGTAACAAAGCAGTGTGAGATGTGAGAAGACGATACTTAGAAAAAAACAGATTTCAGTGATTGCCTTAACGTCCATACAGTCGTACCCATATCTTACAAACACCAAGATGTGTGTGCCAAAGGGATCTTGCTAGGATCGTTCTGTGTAACATGAAGGACAGAGGATGCTGGCTGTCAAGTCCTTGCCGTGTCTCTTGGGTTCCTTCTGACTGGCCATGACAAAATGGCTTTGGGCAGGTCTTTTATACCTTTTAGAAGCCAGCAGTTACTATGCCACGATCCTTTTGCCAAAGATTTTTGCTTAGTTCAGTCTCCATAAGTTTTAGGCAAGGCTTCTGCCCGATATTTGCTTCCTCATTTTGTGCTTCTTTGAGTTGACAGGAAAAGGAATGGCATATGCGGTATGCCATAACCTTATTGCCATCTTTCATTTGTCACAGTCTGAGGTCTTCTGCTGAGTTGTTGTCTGCCACGGTCTTAGGAGAGTGCAGGTCTTCTGGTCTTATTAACGTAAAGGACAAATCCCTTAGTGTTTTACTACTGTCAGTTACGTATTTGGTTACCGAAACAGGCCATTCTTTTAACTTTTGTTCTGTTTTCTTTTGGTGCTTTCACACACACTTCTAGTCATACTTCATTTGTAACAACCTTGGTATTTGTTACGAATCTTTACAGCATGTTTACAATATGCTTTTATTGTTCAAAGGAAAATGCATTATGTTGAGTTTGTTGGGGTAGCTTCTCGAGGGACAGAGACTTAAATATATAGCAGCTGCATTTTCAGGCTTGAAAATTTTAAACTAAATGCTGTAATGTTCATCATAAAAATAGAGAAAATCAACAACAGTGAAATTATTTCACTTTGTTTCAGCAATTGGTTTCAACGTTGAGACAGTGACATACAAGAATCTGAAATTTCAAGTTTGGGACTTGGGAGGACAGACAAGTATAAGGTAATAAATGTATTTCTTAAAATGAAAAGTTACCATTAAATTTCTCTAAAAAGTGCTGAGGTCTTGAAATTCTTAATAGCTGGCACTTCTGAAAATTGGTTCTGTAGGTTTTAATCTAGCAGAATTCAGTTAATGCAGTCTCTGTTTTGGACTACATATTGCAAAAAAACAATTGACCATTTTCAGTTGTAAACAGTTTTGTTTTAAAAAATCAGTTATTTTTGTGGTTGGTAATTGGGCAGCCTTCTGAGAAGGCAGGAAGTCAGTGATCTAAAACGAAAAAAAGTTTAAATATTCACCCATTTTAAGAACGCTAAAATAAAATTAAATTTAGGTATAGATAACAGTTCTTTTTTGAATAGCGAGCTACACAACTTCTCTTTAGGACCCTTTTATGCTCTTCTCAAGATTCCTTTTTGAACACTAGATAGTAAATTGCAGTGCCGCTTTCCTTCCCTTTTTAGCCTCAATAAAGTAAGTTCTGAAAAGGATGGTTTGCTGTGATCCTTGTTAATTACCTGACCTACCTGTATGAATTAGTCATTTAAAAGATTTCTCTTAGTTTCACCTTCTTAGGTGACCATAATGATATCTGTGGCAGATGATAATTTTAATACAGCTTGTTTTACAAAAGTTAATATTAAGATAACTGTTTGCAAAAGCTTGTGTTTACAAACTTTCTTTGCTTCCCTGTTCTCAAGCCTTATCTTCTTTGTTTTTGAGTAGTATTTGCACTGTCTGTTCCTTTTTGTAACCTTTGAATGCACCTTGTAGTTGCTCCCTTGGGCCTTTCACTCCAGAAACAGTTTCTGCTTTCTCTGAGTAGTCTGTTTTTCATTATCTGACTAAAAAAAGCACTGTTCAAGCTGCAGTTATTTGAACAGAATTATTTTTCTTCTGCAGGCCCTATTGGCGATGTTACTATTCAAATACAGATGCAGTCATTTATGTAGTAGACAGCTGTGATCGAGACAGAATTGGCATTTCAAAATCAGAACTTGTTGCTATGTTGGAGGTAAGAAAACAAAAATGATGTTCTTATCACTAAAATGTCCGGACATTGAGAAATTACAAACCTTTTCTGGAGCTAACATGAAACTTGATTTTTTTTTTTTTTTTTTTTTCGGTCCTCAGAATAGGCCCTTGCTGTACTTCTGACAGAAAAGCACTAAATACACTGCAGATATTTTATGTGGTACTGTCTGGTCCGTTAGTTATATTCAGCCTTTTGGTGACATGAAAATTTTCCTGTCTGCTGTGACCTCTGCTCAGTACTTCAGTGGTGGCAAAATCAGGGTTACAGTAAGGGTAGCCTGGTATTATGCATTGAAGCTGAAGAACATACGCAGAACAGAGTAACATGAGGAAGGGGGAAAAGGCATTAGTTAAAGTAAAACTTTTTTTTTTTCCCCCAAATTCTTGCAAGTAGTATATCTTTTTGATATACCTTGTTAAATCCAACTAGCCACTTACTTATTTATATAATAATAATATTCTGTAAACTAGCCTTGTACTGAAATTGTTCCTCTATGAGATGATGCTAGGAGCAAATAGAATTGAGTGTGTCAACTCTTTCTCTGAAGAAGTTTCTAAAGCAAAAAAAAAAAAACCCAAAAAACAAAAATCATTAGATTAGTTGCTGAAATTTCTTTTCATTGTATGATTTGTTTTTTTCTCTGCATAAATAAAGTCTGTAAAAGTCTCGCCAACACCTTTCATGATTTCCCCCTTAGGAAGAAGAGCTGAAGAAAGCCATTTTAGTGGTGTTTGCAAACAAGCAGGACATGGAACAGGCCATGACTCCCACAGAAATGGCAAACGCACTTGGCTTACCAGCTTTGAAGGACCGAAAATGGCAGATATTCAAAACCTCTGCAACTAAAGGCACTGGGCTTGATGAAGCAATGGAATGGTAAGTAGTAGTCTTAAATTACGCTAGCTGCACTACCTAGTGAAGACAAAAGGGTGAGCAAGAGCGTGAGTGAGTGAGTGAGTGAGGGGGTAGGCATTTTAAGGACTCGCCCGGTCACATTGCATCTAGCTCGGTCCATATTGCTCTGGGCAGTAATTGTAACCAAAAAAAACAGAAGTCCAAAGAGAGAGGAGTAGTTTACTTCTAAATATAACGTACTAAAGATGTCTCAACATATTTGAACTGAGTTTGCAAGTAAACTGACTTAACCTTTTTCCTAGGTTGGTGGAGACCTTGAAGAGTAGGCAGTAATACAAAGCTGACTATAGCAAAGAAGTTTTAACTAAACTAAACTATACCCAGCATCCCTCTTTTCAGGCCACAACTGCTTGTAAATAGAACAGATTGAAAATGACTCCTGTAAAGTGGATGCCTCTCTTGAATTGTAAAACCAAACCAAGTGACTGGCTGTGTACATTAAAATACTCCATTTCTTTCTTTGTGTTTATGCACTTATGTTAATTTGTATCAAAGTCTTATTAGTTGGGAAGGGTTTTTTTTTTTTCTTTTTTTTTTCTCCTCCTTTGGTGGTTTTAAGTTTTGAGTGGCTACTTATTCATGTAATTAAAACACTAATAAAATTTGGAACCATCAAGCTGTCCAGCCTGATTTCTGCAGTTCATAGTGAACTTACGGGGGGTGGGGGGGTGGCACTTACTTAATAGATAACAGGCTGCTCACTTAGAGAAACTGACTTAAGTCCAACTGATACCTGGTCTAATAGTGGTGTAGCTGCTGAACATGTAAAGAGGTTATTTTTAAAAATACTCTTTACATATGACAGTGAAGGGGAGTTTCCTTTAGCTTACAGTAACTGAGGTATGTATACTGTACCCGTAGTTGTTAAAGTAGCATTTACTTTCTGAAAGGAAGAAAAAAAGTTTTCTGCAACCTGCTACTGCCCTGATGTGCCAGGGTGGGCATTTGAATTCAACCTCCACTTTTTATGAGCTGTTATTTATTTCTATACGCTTAGCAAGAAGTGACGGGTGACTTGTTGTTCCCGGAATAACAGCAGCAGGGTCTGAAAGACAACTCAAGACAGGGAAGCAGACTGTCCTCTCCAGGAGGAGGCATGTAGGCAGTCATCACACAACCCTCACTTTCAAAAATGAAGTAATAAGTAATATTAAAAAAAAAAAAAAGGTAGCTGTCCATTCAACTATACATGGTCTTAACACAGACTACACAGTAGGCACTTACTTAGAAAAAACTGACGCGTCTTTATTTAAGATCCCAGATGAAAAAGAAAACATGAAAAAATACAAATAAATACATTAAAATATGTAAATACTTTCTTTTCAACAATCATTAGTTCTCTTGTGGGAAGTTTCTTTTTATAAAATTATCCTCCAGGAGGTAAAAGCCTTTTCATTCTACCATTGCTAAATCTTTCAGTGCATGACTCCTGGGTTTCTTGGCCTTGTAGCTAGGGCGCAGGAATTCTATTTTTCTCTTCCTGGTTTCTGCTTTATTCTTATGTCGCTTCAGCTTCCTCCTTGCAGCAATGTCAGGATTTGCTACAGTCTAATGAGAAACAATACATTTGTATGTTTGTTTAGTTAGAATATACAACTGTCCCTGTAAATATCAGACACTTCCTAAAGAATTGCTGACTGATTTAAAAAAAACCCAAAAAAACAAAAACACAAACACATTAGTTTCCTTAGGCTCCGTGAAACTGAGGGTATTCTGGCTCATCTGCCCAGGTTGACCACTGCTCTGCAGGTAAACTGAGTAACACAGCATCACTGTCAGTCAAAACTTGCCCGAGAGCCTGATCTTAAACAGTTTCCTGTTAAGCTTCTGACCTGAAACTATCCCAGTTCAGGAGGAAGACCTTCCTCAAACTCACCTTCCCAGTCATCTGTAAAGCATTTTAAAAAAATAACTATTTCTTTTTTTTCCCCCTCAAAAAGGAAATCAGAATAGACTCTTACCTGCAAAGCCCTTTGCTTTTTCCTGATAGCTCTTTTCCGATTGGCCTGTTTCTGCACAGCAGAAAAAGCAACTGAAAAAGTCTCCAGTCCAACTAATTTCTTGAGCAGTTCTATAATTTCTTGGGAAAGGTTCTTCAACGTTGGATCTAGTAAAACAAAATTAACTTGCTTGATCTTTTCAGACTATGGAATGAAAGCTAAGAACCCAGTAACGATGACCTCGTCTTTACAAAACAATGGCTGTACTGACTGATCTTGCCCAGCATCTTCTGCCAGGACCAGAGCAAAAATGCTCGTGAAACCTACTGGCGCTTCACCAGTGTTCCCAGAGCACCATAAGTGCTGCGTCACACAAGGAAACCAAAAATAATATTTCTGAGAAGCAAAAGCTTTTTCAGAAAGATAATGGCATCCCAGAGCTTCTTACAGAACAGGCTTTGTTGGAAACAGAAATTATTCCAGTTCAAAACACCTTGTCAATCCCCATCTCTTTGTCTAATGTTACGCAACTTAAGTAATTGCTTGACCTTGTTATAAAGGGCTGGCTTAATGTTTGAGATCACTAATTGCAACATATTAACTGCAGTCACGCGTGCGCGCGTGCACACACACGCACACACACGCACTCACAAGATATGGGGAAAAAAATGGCTATAAGCAGATGCCCTGGGGAAAAAGTGAGAGCAGAGTAAACATGTTTCCCTCAGTCTTCCAACAGATCCTGCTTGTACAGGCTTCCCTGAAGCTTGTGTAAACTACCTGCCTCCACACCATCCTTCAATAACGAGTTCTCTGGGTCTACTCCCCTCATCTGGAAAACCACCTCCACGTTTATTTTGAACCATCATTTGATGGCCCCCTAGCTGTTGTGTTGCCAGAGGGAATAAAAGCAAGTTGATCTTTCTCCGCTCATAGTTTGGTCCCTATCCCCTCCAAGTCTCTTATTTTCCTAGCAAAAACATACTAGCCAACCCAACTGTTCTTACATGGAAGCTGTTCAAGAGAACTGTTACTGCTCTTCTCCACATTTTGTCCGTGTCTTCCGTATCCTTTCTAGGATGTAGGACAGAGCTGCACACTGTATTTTCAAGGCATATACAAATTATGGATTTACAGAGCGATATGGCTCTTTCCTGTTTTGTCATCTGTTCTTTTCCTAACATTGGATTTGCTTCTTGGCTGAGCACGTTTACATGAACTATCAGAACACCCACGTCTTGCTCTTAAGTCAAGATCTCATCACGTTAAATAGGAAATTTGTTTGTTTTTCCCTACCAGGCATCACTTCATACAGGTCACACAAGGCCTATCATCTGCCAGTTTACTGCCCAGCAGTTAGGTTCTAAGGTCTTTCTGCAGTCTTCACTGTTCCTTTTCCCATAGTGCATACACACGCGTTTCCTTCAGATTTTTAAACACACACAGATCTCCAAAGAAAAACAAGTGTTTTTGCACAGGTAGTATCTAGTGGGAGAATGACCTGGACTTATTCAGGAAGCCGTGAGAAGATCTCTGCTCACAGTTCAATAGGGATACGCCTGCCTGCACACACAGCGTGCCACATTCCTTTAGAGGGCAGCTCTCCTCCCCTAGCTGCAAGGTTTGCTGTCTTGCAGTCATTCAGGCGAGATCTGGCTGTCACACTCTCAGGACTGTGAACACATGACACACACTAAACTTCATTTTCAGGATTTTCTACTTCAAAAGGGAAAGCCTGGGGAAAAAAACATCATGCAACTACCGTCGAAGTAGCAGTTGCAGCTTGTACAAGTCCCACGCTCTACAGCAATACACGCTGCCATAAAAAAACACCCTGTTTTACATGAAAACTCAAACACGCTTTTAACCATTGGGCATGGCTTTTTCTGCCCCCCCATCCTCACAACAGATCTAGCAGGGCAATTTAAAAAAAAAAAAAAAAAAGATGACATTTTGTAACAGCATTTTTCTGGCTTCCTTAAGATCTGCATTTGTTCCTCTACTCAGCGAGGTCTCAGTCTTGCCACCGCTTTCTCCACCCTATCGCATACTCTAGTTTTATCCACTTGCATGCAGGTGCCTGCCTAACTTCATTTCTGTCTTTTTTCTCTGTGACCACATAAAAGTTTCCTTCAGCTGTCATACACTCTCCTTTCCTGGTACTTAGCTTAGACTGCAGCTAGCTGATATTCACTCGATTATGACATCCGTGCATCAACAGACAAAAGCAATGGCAGGCAGTGTTTGCGTTGAGGCACGGAACTGACACACCACCTTCTTTCTTTGCTAGTCTTTGCAAAGGAAAGCACTTACCTTGCTCTGCATAGGTGCTGTTCAGTTCCCTGTACAGAGGGGTGAGAATTGTTGGAAGATACGGCTTGATTCTATCTTTTCCCAGATCCACCGAGATTGCTCCCAAGAACTTAAAGACACAGCTTCTCTGAAAATGAGCATATAGGACAATGAGGGAAGGGAGGTAGGGAGTACCCGAACTGTTACGAGCGCGCTATGCTTCACTGTTCAATGTAAAGGGAGTTGTTTCAGAGGCGCTAGGTCAGAAACTCGCTGCTTTTACAAGGTCTTACTGCTGCCAAGTACAGCCTTTGGATGAGAGACAACCCCATCAGCTGTGATTTCACTAGGATGATGTTAGCTGTTAACACTTTGAAAAACAAGACTTGTTCTCTGTCCTCTAAAGCTCAGCCTCTCACTCTGCACCACAGGGAACTGCAGTGCCTTTCTGTCACTCTGTCTCACTCATCCTCCCCCCCCTTCTCCCAGCAAATAACTGCACACTGCTCTTCCCCTGCTTACGTAAACAAAACACCCTCAGGCTTTAAAGCCAGCACTCTCTCCCCTTCAGCTTGGTGCCACTGGCTTTCTCACCTCTCACAGCCCCACGCCATCAGCAAGGAGAAGCAGACTGGCACAAGCCTTTCCCCAAGAATCTCCACCTGAAATGCTTGTTTCTTAGCACACTAATACTAGCTTCAGCACCAGCTCCCAACACCCTCTGCAGCTGGTCGCCTGCGAGCAAAGAGCCAGAGCAACGCTCTTCTGCACAAGTGCCTCCAACATCAAGTGCAGTTGGTCTAACCCTGTTCTTACCTTTAAGGGGATCTTAGGGGAATATGCTGCTTCTCGCTTTGCCATGAGAGAGAGTTTCTTCATTACCCATAGCAATGTGGCTGGTGGGCCCTTCTCTTCTGCGTCTTCCCTTTCTCCCTCTCCTTGAGCAGAAATCTCTCTCTCACCCTCCTCTTCGGAGGCCTCTTCTATCTCACAGTTGAGTTCCCCTTCGACCTCTTCGTCCTCTTCTGAGGCAGGGGCTAGCAAGTAAATAACTTTGGCCACAAACAGCAAATTCTTTATAACCTGAAGTGTGAAAACAGAGCAGTCAGTCAGTCGGTGTAGTTTCCCACAGTGCCAGCACCAGCAGTGACCAGGGCATGGAAGAGCCAATGCTAGTTCTGAAAGAGGAACTGGCCAACCGAAGAGGACATAATGTGTTCAGCCCATCCCA